GTAGCCTCAGGAGGAGGCTTTGTCTGCCCTGATGTACCAGGGGGCCTGTTAGGCCTGGATTAAAGTTGTCTATTCTCATTCTCTTAAGTTTGTCTGGCCTCTGTTTCAGATAAGCCGGATTGATAAGGCATCATCACTGTTAAAGTTTCTTGTGTCAAGATGAAACCTTTTCTGGGGCAATCTGTACCCATTGTTTGTCCTCTCCAAGGCTCTGTGTGAAGGGAGAGCCTCCACCCTCTTTGCAGCACCTTGCCAGCACTGGGGTGCTGTGATCAGGGCCCCCTAAGCCTTCTCAGCTCCAGGCAGCAGGGACCCAGCTTCTCCAGTGTTTCCTCACAGCAGAGGCACTTCCAGGTGGGGAAGGAGCACGCCAGGAGAGCAGAAAGCCAGGGAGATGGGCTGCACATGGGGCTGATGGCTGGGAAAACCCCACCTTCTCCCCAAAAACCCAGGGCTGTGTTGGGAATGTGAAACYGGGGGAAGGCAGCCCTGCAGATGTGGGGTCCATTCCCTGGAAAGGTCCAACCCCTTTGGTCCATCCCCCATCCCCAGCTCCCCTGTCCCCCCTCGCCCCTGCACGCTGGACACGGGCAGGGAGCGGAACTGGCACAGGGAATGTGCCTTGTCACACACCTGCCAGCTTGGCACCACATGCCATTTCTTCTTTTTTTTCCACCCCCTCCTGGAGACTCAGCATTTGTCCACAGTTCTCCTCGTGTGCTTCAGCCAAATCTCGATTTAAAATTATGTTGCTTTAAAAAAAAAAACAAACCAACAAAAACAAGGTGAGCAGGAAAGCTTTTGGAGGAAGAAAATGTTCAGCACACCAGGGGAAGTGTAAGAACTAATTTAGAGCTCAACTATTTGAGAAAAGCTGATCTCCCTCTGTCATTTTCTTGTGCTGATCATTTGTTTCTGCATTTTCATGGAAGAAAAAAATAATCAGTGACTAAAATTATCGTGAATATTTATCCTGTATCCAGGTGTGGAGCCACCGGTTCCTTTCCCAAAGGAAACTCAGTGTTCATGGGGCAAACGAAGAAATTGCTTGTGAAAAWAMMAAAAAWRTCKTTTTATCTGAAGGGAGATGTTATCTGTGGACCTGTGGAGCACAGTTCTGTCGGGACTCAGACACCCAAAGCTGTGGTGATGCTCTTACTGGAGAAAATGTGTTTTAAATTTCCTCTGCGGCGCCTTTAAAAGGCAGCGCTGCACGGCTGCACCATCTCGTGGTGTCACCGGGCCCTGCACGGCCACAGCCTTTAAAACCCCGCTTCATTCCACGGCTTCCATCGCAGACACATCAAATCCCGGTGCCAGGCCATGCCACAGCTTGGACCACCACAATCCAGAGCCACAAAGTCCCTCCAGACCTTCTCCCCTCATCCTCCTTTTTGGGATGCAACAATCCAACTGTTTCCCAGCCACCCAAGTATTTGCCTGATCCCTCTGGTTATTGTTCCAAGATGTACCCAGCGGATTGGGGATCAGCCTCTGAACTCGCTCTGATGTCACTAAGATGTGTTATAGAAGATTCCAGCGACACCAAGGCTCCAGTATTCAGAGGAAAAATGAGAAGGGTGACAGAGCTAAAGCCCCATGACACAGAGCCAAGGGCAGGACCTGTGCGTGCTCAGCCTCAGCCCTACTCCTACACAGCACCTTGTYCCTCTCAGCTGCCACTTCTTTTCCGACAAAAACGATCCTGTGATTAAATGGGCTGAGGTCTGGGCAGAAATCTTCCTTCCCCTCTTCTTCTAAATGCATTTGCCTGTGAAGGTAAAAGATGGCCCATTTCAGGTGCATAAAAAACCCCCACAAGTAAAATTTTACAAAAATTTCTGGTTCTCAGTCTCAGAAGGTACAGCAGGTACCCATTAGCCAAGGGATTAGGTAGAGATTAGAAAAAAGAAGTCCTAACAGCATTTATAAAATGATTTTCCTATTAAAAACAAATATGAAAATGTCAGACTTTCATCTTTCTGCAGGTTTRTCTTCCAGAAAATCATCAGCTTGCAACCAGCCTGAACCTAGCYGATCCTAGCTCGGTGAGGAGCTGCTTCCCATGGGCACCTTGARGCAATGCAGCTGCAGCAKAGGGCAGCTCCCCCAGCTCTCCCGYTCCTTAARGATAAACATTCGGACCCCRCCAGCCACMCTCMCATCTCCTCCTGCCCCCTTACCCCCTCCCACAAGCCAGGATCTCGCTGCTTTTCTCAGYTCCAGCTCACAGGCTTCAGGGGCTTTGGAAAGCAGCCAGATGGATTTATCCAAACCTCAGCAGGTTAACCAACAAGAACAGGAGCTGAACCCTTTCTGCCAGAGGCTGCCACAGGAAGAAGACCTCGGTGCTCAGCAGTGAAGGCTTTCATCTTTATTAAAGCCCAGCAACTCCAAAGAGTTGTGAAAGGAACGGAATGAACTTTCTGGCCTGATTCTCTGAAGTCTTTGCTTCCCCCTCCCAATGTTTCCCCCATGGAGAATGGCATGTGGGGGGAGAGAGGGGGATTTCTGGGAACAGACCTAAACTACTTGCATTATCAGACATGAAGAGAATGAAAAAAAAATAACACAGATAGTTTATTGTCAAACTGAATCAAAGCATGAAAAAAAAATCACAAGGTTACACTGTAAAGAAATTTGGTTTTCATCACAAAAGCTCATTAAAATCAAAGAAAACAACCCATTGTCAAGCCAGCAACTCCCCCATCAACCCCCTCCCGCCACGCCGAGCTCTCAAGTGCAACATTTATYGAAAGGCTGGGAATTCAGAGGTGGTGACATCGCGTTTGTAGGGACAAAAGGATCACCCTCATTATGTGCAGGGACAGAGGTTCTCCGAGGGGGTGACACGTTTGTGGTTGAGCAGTGACTCCTCTGTTGGCCTTTGAGCAGCAGCAGCCTTGTCCTTGCTGGAGTCCAGCCTGCAGTGATGGGGCTGATGGTGCCAGCTGTGCGGGGCTCATGTCAGCTTTTCCTGCAAATTCCAGTCCAGCAGGTGTGTGCATGTCATCAAATCCAAAGGTGGGTGCCACATGGAGTGACAATGGCAGTGGGAGGCACCATGGGGCGGACACAGACACAGCCACCACCTCCCAGATTCCCAAATTCAGTTTGCTGCTGGTTTTAGCCATGACCAAGYCTCACCCTGGGATATTGGGGTGTCACTGCAGAGGCAAACCCACCCCATGGAGCCACATGGATTTGTGTGTCCCGTGTCTCAGGAATGCCCCCAAACACAGCTCCACGGATACCCYRCTCCCAGCACAGYTCCATCCCAACAAAACACCTGGAAGCTTTCCAAAGCTGTTTGCCAACCTGTCCAAACCAATGGGCTACCCCCCATGCATCATTTATGGTCCAGCAGCTCCAGCAGAAGCAGAGGAGTCCAGGAGAACTCGGCCTGGGCTCCTGCCAGCGTGGCTGGGCTGCTGGGAAGTCTGGATGGTGAAGGTGCATCCCACCTGCGACAGCCCTATGCCATCCTGCAGGGAATTTCAGAGGAGCTGGCTTTCCTTCTGAGTCAAACGACAACAAAAAGGGGGGGGG